ATCTGCAAATACGTAGTTTGAGTAAAACAACTACTTTCATTATCATAAACCTTGAAATGATTGCTTGAACTCGCTATTATCACCATCATTCAGTTGTAATCGTCATCATTCGTTATCATAATTGGTTTTTTTCTACATATCCAGTTGAGTGTTCTTGGTTCCCAGTACATTCAAACAAGAGAAGTGTATCTAAATAAATTAATGTACCAAAGTCCTGCGTTAATATTTCAAGGTATTATGTTTTTCTCCTTTCGGCCTCAGAGTGCTTGTGTTAAAAACCCTTGCGAAAATAATGGTACTTGTCAAAGCGGTTTTACCGACAAAGGATATCGCTGCTTGTGTACTGCCGGATTCAGAGGTCAAAACTGTAAAAAAGGTAAACCTTACTGCATTTCTAAAAACGAGTAAAACACGGCTGTAAGCTCGTGGAGCTTTAACCACAACTTCAATTTAATTAGGGCAAAACTTTAACAAACACCTCACATTCCATCACTCCAAAGTGAATCAAGCAACAACAGCTGCATTGCTGACTCGCCTCCAGTCCTCTTTTTTTATTACATGCGATCACGGAGTAGCAGGAAACAAGGAATTGTCTTTCGCGAGCCAGAGGGGCATATTGTTGCGCATGTTCTGTAAACTTGTTTTGATACGAGAAACCACCGGTATGCGCCTGCGTCGGTTTCCCGCTCAAGAAAAGCAGGAAGATACGTCGGAAAACAACAATGGATATTGTATTTGAGACAACCTTTCTTATCATTTTTCCCTATGTAACTTAAATGGAAGCGGAAAAGTCTTAAAATTGTTGTGTGGTGTGTGGAAGGAAGTTACTTTCAAAAATGATTACCAAAACAAGAAAGGTCAATGTCGAGTAAACAAAAGTAAGACAACGTTAGTACTAGAGAGATGGACGTTACATCGAAGAGCTTATTAGAAATTGAGGAATAATTATTTACCGGAGTGAGGATAAGTCTTTTCAGTCATTAGTCTCGGAAATATCATCAGATATGATCAATGATATGGGGAAATTGTGAATTAAAACAAGTACTAGTTTGGGCTTCCAGTTGTAATATAAATAGTTCAATAAATCAATTACTTCCCAATGAAATCATATTCATTCATCATTTCAACTGCACAACAATACACTTTTTGCAACCTTATTCTCCAACCTATTGAATTACAAGAGTTATGTGACAATTTGATGGTCTGAAAAGGCTCTTATTACATGCCACACAACATAGAACCAAAGGGGCTGATATTTAATAGTGAGGATAAAAAGCCTTTTTTCCCTGGGAAGGAGACTAAATGAGGTCAGAGTAAACTAATGTGTAGAGGTTTGTTGATCTCTTTATGACAATGGATGATTTACATCTATCAGATTTTAGAGAAATGAGACTTAAATCAAAAGGGGACTTACACATTGCACATTTTGCTGTAATGGGCATTGGCTTGGATGCCTATTTGAGGAAATTTATAGTTTTCTAGCCAGGGGTTTGGCTGTGCCAATTTTAAGGCAGACAAATCATATATCAGTCACTTAAGAAATTGTGTAGCTCTCACTGGAAGCTCAAACACTCTTAAGGAACATGAGAATATTTTACCTGATCACTCCTCATATTCTTTTCCATAAATTTGGACAAAACTTTCAAAAACGTTATTGGTAATTTTACAGTTGCAAAAAAGGTAAAGACATAAGTTGCATATAGCATAAGCTAGTTGAGGCAAGTTACAAGGAGAGAACGAAAGATTTATGATTTACACCAGTAGTAAGCTTTTAACACTAATGACTTTCTTTTGAATACCAGCTTGCCACAGTAAATGTCACACCTATCAATTCTGTCAATAGTGCCAACTATACGTAGTGGGGTCACTTCACATCTCCCTAAACAGCAGAGAATATAAAAGTTAATTCCTATCATCAATCTCAATTAAAAAATAAAAATTGAAGGATCAAGACATTTCTGGCAAAGTGAAATGCAAGTCAAATTGGTTTGAAGACATTTTAACGTGGAATTCGTTTTTAAATACGACAGAACTGTAGTTAACATTCTAAAGAAACAAGGAGTTCCAGCCCCTCGAGAAATTATTCATTTGTTGTATCACTCGTCTCATATTTTAAGAACCAGAGAAAGTTTGATAATTTTTATTATTGTTTTTTTAGAGGGCACGGTAACGAATCTTGCAATCTGATTGGTTCTTTACCCGGTCAGTATTTTCCTATCTCTGCCCACGGGCCACGGTAACGCTTTCGTGAGTCGCCGAGTACATCCCAACTTTCGTTGTCATTTTTCATAAATATACCTCGTTTTCCGGCTGGGCAGTATTTTTAAGCAAACACGTCGGTCACTACCTCAAGCCGATAAATAACTTATGAATCCTCTCTTTTCTCTCTATCAAATCACTTTGGTTGACAGAAAAATATTGGTTTCAGAATGAATTTGTATAAACAATAGTGTCATTACGTTGGTTGACAAGCGGCCTAAAAACCGTCTGCAATTAATATTTTTTTAATCGTTCACAAAAAGTACCCAGAAAGTTGAAACGTGAGGTATTTGGTTACAGTTAAACTGAACGATAGAACTTTCATTCATTTAATATCTGAATTTTCTCGAGCAATTTGTTCATAGTGAACGAGCGAGCGAAGTTTTAATTTAAGTTCTACAACAAATATACGCTCCTGGTGAGTCTTTCCAATTCCGTTCAATTTGGACATTTGTACCTTAAATTGCACAACAGAAATTGAAGGAATTTTTTGAGAAAAGGCCGCATTACATTCCCTTGTGTCTCGTTGGAGTGTGCCGTTCGAATTTAGTTTTTGTGAAGGAAAGATCAGAGTTAAACACGCCATTACAGCAAACAAACGAGCAAACTCTCACAACTTCAAAATAAAAAAATTGAATTTACTCACAATTACTTTCCTCGCCGTGTACTTAATGAACAGAGGTAAATCTTCGTACATGAATGAATGGTCGATGAGAGTGAATAATACTTTCCGTTAGATCATTAACTGATTTTGAAGAAAACATTGTCGTGACAGTCCTTGCCAAACTAGTTCTGTTTGTTTTCAAATGTTCCTACGCTTTTTTTTTTCTTGCGCGCTCTCTAATTGACAGGTGTCAGATTGTGACAGATACTTGTAAAAATAATGTTTCAAAGTTTGTTTGGAAGCCTTTTAAATCACCTTGATCGTTACGGAAATGAAAATGTTTCGCTGAGGCATCTCTCTTAAATTTGCATCACCTCTATTTTAACTACCATTTACCCACTCAAAAATTGTTCAGTTTATGAAAGATCTTTCCGTATTTACGTCCATAAATCATTCGGGTTCTTTCGGAAAGAATTTCGTCAAGTTTAAAAACAATAAATATGTTATTTACCGGCTAAGGGTCGGTCCGTATGATGAAAAACTGTGACCTCGGTCTTGAAAATGCTGCCCTCGGCCTACGGCCTCGGGCAGTATTTTCAAGACCTCGGTCACAGTTTTTCACCATACGGACCTCCCAGCCGGCAAATAACATATATATCTGCGAGTTTCGTGGTACACTTTGACTCAAAATTCATTTCGTACGACCGAAGTATTCTCCTGAAATAAACAAGACACAATGGAGCTGACGCCATTCGTTTCGAATAACACATGAACATGAAGAAAACGGCACCAGTTTAAACTAATGAGGCAAAGCACACGCATTTTTTTCAGGTAAATGAACTGATTAGACCGAAAGCTAAATAAGTAAACAATGAACTGACAGTGGTGAGGGATTTGGGGGCCATGTGATTAATAAGTTTTGCCGAAGTTTATCCTCTAGTTAGCACTTCAAGCCCAAAAAGGCAATTAGAAAAATTCAAACCAAAACACAGCAACAAAATAATATAAAACCGGAGATGATTGAGGCAGGACTATAAAAGTTGTTTAGACCGTTGCCTACGTACCATGTACAACAGACTTGGAGAGCAAAAAGGCCAAAGGCATTTGCGAGCCATGGCTTGGAAAATCCACCTGAACCTGCCAAAAACGAATTCGCTGAAGGATGTCGTAAGAGCAACTCAATCCTGAAGCTGGAACATTTTTTAAAGCCTTGTGTCCTAAGTGACTACAAAGAGGAAGAAAAGACGATGTTATTTGAAGTGATTTGAAGCTTGGGGCCACCTCGAACTTAACGCAATTTCATTTCAAAGTTGAAGTAAAATAAGATCAAATTCTAAACTACCTTCTATTACCGAAACGAATATCTCACGATCGTCTCCACATACAACTTCGTGATTCATAGAAGTAAGACATCAATATCTTAAGATTAACCTTCAAGGTTTGATGTCTCAAGTGCACATCTTGATCGTTAGTAAATCAAACCTCAAACTTCAAGTTTTCGGCCATTTTACGCGTTTTGTTCGCACTTTGATCATTAAAATATCCTCATCCGAAGAGCCATCAAACTCCGCAAGTATCCAAAGAGTTAGAAATGGTGGTAAACTTGTCATACTCTTTCATCCCTCTCCAAAAAATATTACAAAAAGGTGTCGATCGCCCAGTTGAAAACCCGCAGAAGAGCGCTGAAAATATCAAAATGAAGCCGAACGCGTTGAACAAATTTTACTGGTGCATGCGCAGACGAAATGCCCCTCCCCTCTACCTCTTTCGAGCACTTACTGGTAACCCCATTTCAAGCTGTGAAATTCAAACACGGCTGAAGTTTGAGATTACGTCAGAAAAAAAGTTTTAAGAGAATTAATTTATTGTCCCGCGACTTATCTCTTAACTTAAGATTTTATTCGTGCAGTGAACAACGGAATGTCAGGAGCAACTCTTTTTATTCAGGGAATGGTATTTATTGAAAATATTATTGAAAAATAGAATAACGACAATATTTTTCAGATGTCAATGAGTGTAGTGAGGGATTACACAACTGTAGTGTTGATGCTGTGTGTAGCAATATCAAGGGATCGTACAAGTGTACATGTAAAACTGGATATTTTGGAGATGGAAAAGTTTGCAATGGTAAATTTGTTAATGGGAAATGAATTCATGATTAATTTATAAAAGTATATTATTTTTAGATGAACATGATATCGGATCTCACGCGAGGCTCAATTGGTTTTTCTTGCTTTAGTTTCACATTTATATTTGTCTTATATGAGAAAATCAAAGCGATGATTTTAACGCGTATATATTGTAGATTTGAACTATCTTTTCAGACATGATTGACTTTGACGTAGGAAGAGAGGATTGTTCCCCTAATCCTATATGCAACAACATCAAGAGATCGTAGAAACCGAGTTAATAAGGACAATGTATTTTGAAGAAAGTTTATTGACTAACAACCGAAAATCTCTGTACACATTTTCAGCTTCATCATGTAAGGAAGTCTACAAGAAGAGTGGGTAGGTGATAAGTGCCGATCAAAAGGGATGTTGAATCACATAAGAATAACGATAAAGTGATCATAAAAATAATGATTATGAAAACTCAGAAGCAGAGAAATTTATGCAAAAGCAATTAGCAAGACTGTCGAGAAGTCTGCATGTTTCACTCAATTTTAAATTTGAGCTGTCTCAAGATTAAGAGAACTAATCACATGACCCTCCATTATTGGTTGTAGCAACAACTTGCGTATTCCATAATGTGGGATACACAAGTCGTCGCTCTACAGGCGTTCAATCAAAATTCAGCGCTGTCTCTCTTTCTCAGAGGATTATATATTCAACAGATTAAACACGAGTGGTGTGATAACTCTACACTTCGGATCAGGACCAAAATCCGTCTTTTGTCACAAGGAAGATTTTGGATGCGGAAATGGGGGCTGGACGCCGGTAATGAAGATTGATGGTAATAAGGTGAAAAATTCACACATTGATGTTTAGAAGAGTCGCCACTTGTTTATTGTTGTTTGGTATAAAGGGCAATTCGCTTGCGCTATCATTAAGATAGTCTTTGTTTGGATTAGTCTGTGAATCAATCAGTCATACACAATCTAGAAATTTGAAATAAATACGAAACGAGCACCATGTATGTTAAATTCGTAATCCGCTGTCTGAAAACATGTTCCTTAGTTGAGCAGAGTGTTGAGATAATAGTGTCCTGGGCCTAGTTATTCGAGGACCGATTAGCGCTAACCCAGGCCGGGTTAAATTTTAATCTAGGTTTCTATATCTCTCGGTTCAAAAGCCGTTTAGGATAATTTTCTCCTTATGTTTTTAGACCATTCAATCATCAAATTGAAGACAAAAAGAATTAAGCAGAATTTTCTTTTCAAGCCTTCAGATTTTTCAAGGCCCTGCTTTAACCCAGCTTTGAAAAACCCGGCCCCAGTGTCGTAAATAATATGGGATATTCTTCTGTTGCGATGCAACTTCTCATTATCAGCGCTATTAAAGCAATTTTTTTCTCCACGCAGCAAACTTTCCACTATTACTCTTTGTTTTGGAGCAACATGGCCGAATACAATCCGCGAGGAGGCATGACTGGGTTTGACTCACAGGAGACAAAGCTACCAACTTACTGGAACACATCCTTCTCAAAGATCTGTCTCGGTATGAAGATCGGCGAAAAGATCAAATTTATTGTAATCAACAAGCAGGCTGACTCCCTGTACTCACTGATCGCTGACGGTCAATACCACTCAACCTCATTGGGTCGTGACATGTGGAAGAGACTGATTGGTTCAGAAGCCTCCTTGCAAACAGAATGTGGTAAGGAAGGGTTTAATGTGTACGGCTCTGCCAGCCATTCCAAAGCAAGAATCGGCATTGTTGGTAACGAGCAAAAACACTGCAGGAGCTGTGATTCTAGGATCGGTTTTGGGACAGGAGGTACCCCTGACAATTCTACTACGTGTGGAAACGTAGCTAGACACAATCCAGGTAAAAACGACAAACACATCAGAGCAATGGGATATATCTTGGTACACTAACAATGAACAGGGTCGATCATCCAGCTGGATAACCTTTAACATCTTCACGCTAACTGACACAGCAAGTTATGAGTTTATGTTTATGTTTATGTTTATGTTTCGGTAAGATACGAAATTAAGTGATTTGATGTTGTATTGAACGACACGCAGTTACACAAATCGTAATGTAAGAAGCAATGTAAGTAATATAATGTAAGTATTTCATACTTTTTGTAAGGAAAATATTATATAAAAGTATTTGGCACGTTCTGATCGTCATAAAAGGAGCCGTTATCAATTTTCAGTATAGGTTTAGCAGTGCGTTTATTCTGGGTGTTAAAAAAACTAATAAATAGTTAGAAAAACTAACAAAAATCAATCAAGTCAGCTTTTTGATCTAAGCAGGGACACAAGAGATTTTACTGATGATCCAACACATGCGGAAAAAGAACCAGGAAACTAGATAAAACTTACAGTTAATGTTAGAGGGTGTCAATGGGGTGATGGCACTTACGGCTTACGGTTTAAGTTTTGGCCAATTTACGGTTAACAATTAATATCTTTCAATTTTTTTCACTGGAGAAAATTTTACGATTAACTTTTTCTACGACTAGCAGTTAAAATTCGTTAATTTTTTGCCCAACAATACAATTCTTTAGCCATTTTACGGTAAACGGTTAACCCCATTGAGACCGTCGCATAAGGCCCATGGGATAAATTTTGGTGTAAGAGAAATCAAAACAGCAAGATTCCAAGAAACATTGGCCTTCAAGAGCGACTGCAAAGAGAACTAACAAGTATCCTCATTTAGCCTCATGGTACCACAGGCGACTCAAGCGTCCTATATGCAATCTCGGGGTTTCATAGTTTTAATAGAAATCGAATACCTCATATGCCGAGAGTGTGTATTATCATTTAAATTACGGTGTCATACAAGGATTTCCAGCCCTGAGAAAAGCCGTAACAACACACGTTAAAAAATACGATATTTTTTCACGTGTGTTTGATATCGTCAATCAGCTGCTGACATGTCACTCCCCTTTGGCGCCACTCGGTCAGGTTGATGAATGAACGGTAAAGCCTTCACGATTCATAATACAAGGTGGTTCGTCGGAATTTTTTTCCGATTACGGCAGCTAAAACACTGAAAAATCCGTATCGCTCACAGACAGTGACGTTCAAACTTTCCTAGAAGGGGAAGAAAACCATTAAACGAAAAGGAAAACCGAAAGTTACGTATTCGAAAGTTACGTATTCTCGCAGCTAAGAACGAAAATCGACACCTGGAAGATTTGCCACTGGCCATGGCCGATTTTGACTGTTTACCTGAAAGACTTTTTCTGTCCGTAAGGACAAAGTCAATAAATGACAATTTTGAACATTGACAATTACGCTCATTATAGTTTTCATAATCAAGATTCAACGCACATTTCCATCTTGAGAGTTTTATGTTAGCGTCGACGCACTGTACGATTGTTATTCGGGGACTGTCGATTCATTTATTTTCATTCAATGATGAGGTCGGCTTTTAAAGTAAACGGCTATTGTGGTTATATGATGAGCCATCGAGTTGAACACTCGAAGAGAAATTCCATATCTACGCACGCCCATATATTATTTTCTATTTAACCAGAGCAGCACGAGCCAAGATTTCCTCGGTATGAAATCTGCTTTTGGTTCATGGGTATTAAATTACATTTTTGTTCACTGAAGTCGAAATTCCCAGCTGAACCGGTTCCGAGCACCAACCGTTGTCAAAGTCCAGATAGGCAACAACCAATCAAGGAGCCCTCTTTGAAATATTATCCTTTTCTCTTGTTCAGTGTATCTTCACCTATTCGAAATAGCAATGTATCTTTGGCTAGGGTCTATTAGAGATGAAACAGAGTTTCAGTTTGCTTTTCGTATTAAAATTACCTGGAATTATATTTTTGAGGCAACCGTCATTTGGTGTCGTCACGAAAACGTGCTCTCTCTCTCCACAGGGAATAGATGCCGCCTTATTTCAACTACTAGTTCAATAGTGTTCATAACTGCGAGGATCGATTCTATATTCATTTCTTCAACCGCAGTGCACACAAATGATTTTCATATGTTTACAGCCAGATGGCGTTGTTTTGCGAAGGAGACAACAGGAAGTATGGCACCGATGCATTTTATTTTTGCTTAGAAGTATTTAGACTACAGAGACAATAGACTACCAAATACCTGTGTGAGTTCAGTTAAATTAGGTCTTTTTTCTTTCTCTTAAGGTGTAGTAATGCGATATTTTTCTCCGTTTGAAAGTTGTGCTCTTTTTCTGTTACAAAAATGAAAACGTTCGGTACACAAAGTGTCCCATCTCAACCCACCCAGCTGAAAAAATAACTCTTGCATGCTACGCATGCCTATGTTTGGAAAGGCCATTACTTCATTCTTAGGGTAAAACATATCCTCGACAAAGCGCGAATTTTTTAAATGAATAAAGTAAACCTTGCCACAGCATGCTACGCATGACTATGTTTGGAAAGGCCATTACTTCATTCTTAGGGTAAAACATATCCTCGACAAAGCACGAATTTTTTAAATGAATAAAGTAAACCCTGCCACAGTTGACTGAAGATAGAATGACGAAAACTTTCTCACGCCATTCGCTATCATTTGAAAACTTTCAAGGCAAAACACAATCCGTAAGATAGCTTCTTTTCCCTTAAAACCACGACTATATTAAACATTCCAAACGAAAGGACAAGGAATAACTTGAAGAATACGAACACTCTGAAACGTTATTCGAGCAGTGCACCGGTGCGAGGGTTTTAAAGCGATGAATGCCAAAGTCATTGCTTTACCGAAACGTGATTTGAATTATAAACTGAAGCTAGTGTCAAACGGGAAAAAAAGGTTTGAATTTCTCAGGGCCTTAGCGTAAGAGAAAAAAACCCAGATAAGACACGACCTACTTCCTCTTCTTTATCGTAGTTCGCTTTCTCTTTGTTCATGACCTCTTTTCAGTCTGTTTTCTGGAGATCTTTGCACTTCTTTTCCACGTTGCTCTTCGTTAGATATTCACCTTTTCCCCGCCCTCTTGTTCTCGTCCACGTTCCTCTCGCCGTATTCTGCCAATTTTAGCGTCCTTTCTGACTTTCTTTCGATTCGCTTTATGCTTTTATTTCTTTCTTTCTTTGGTCGCTCTGTCATTGGCGGTTTCCAGCCTATTTTCGCTCAAATCCCTTTCTCCACGAACTTTAATTATAACAATTTCCTCCGGTTGACAAAGCTTAAGCTCTGCCGGTATTGTTGCTCGGCAACTTAATTAGAAATAGCAAAATACTGAGAATTATTGTTCAACTACATCCTCACCAGTATGATTTCCTGCTCAAAACGCGGGTTGCAAATTATTTGCTTACGTGGCTTCTCATTTACTAGCCCATGTGAAGCCCTCGTATAATGCCTAACCGTGTGCTCGCGGTACGCTGCACTAAAGCTTGACACTGGAGTATGTGCACTTTATCGTCATCTCCCGGTGTTTCCTAGCGCACACTAACGAGGTATCAAGGTTACGCACGCAATCGTGTTTGCGCATTACCTTCTCTCTCACCCTTCCATTACGTAATGGCTAAGATAGTGCCCGCAATGTAGTTGGCTGCGCATGCTAAAAGTAGCTTTTTCACGGTCGGTCTTACGGTCGCAAGTCCAAATTTTTTCGTCTTGACAGGTGATGATAGGTTACTACTATGATTAGCGCGCTGCAAACTCCGCTATGAGTTCTACTAATACACATTCATTCCATAACCCTGGGTAGAGACAGACACGTTTTACTTCAGGTAACTAGTTCGAGCAATTAATTTAATCTCACCGCCATCTCGTTTTAAACGCTAGTTGTTGACCTAGTGGCTATGTTTTTAAAATATACAGCCGTCCAAAGAAAATACACAGTCCGTTCAACTGAAGCACATCCATCACTTTAAGCTGATATTCATCTTCACGACATTTTTTCATAGCTTTTTCTTCGTTTCATCAACGTCGATGATGTCGTTACTGGCTAAGAATATATGAAAGTCATTTAGTTGAACTGCGGATAAAGACGTGAATATGAAAGTGATCCTCGCAGTATTGTACACTACTTAAGCAGTAGTGAAAATAAGGCCTGAAAAAAATTATTTGGAACTTACATAATGACCAGAGCGCTGCACCGGTATCGCAAGGGTCATGGGTTCAAATCTCGTACAGGCCTGAATTTTTTCAGGCCTTATTTTCACTACTGATTAAGTAGTATACAATACTGCGTGGATCACTTTCATATTCACGATGTCGTTACTGTCGACAATTTGCGGCTTCGATTATTGTCAGCGGCTTCTCCTTTACCAAAAGGATGGTCACGTAATATAATAAACCCAGTATGGCGCGTTTCTTGGTTAGTAAAAGCTTCAAATTTCGGACGCTTTAATCCGGTGTCTCAGCATGGAGACCTGTCATTACAAGAAGGGCAGATCAGGGATATTGAAAGAATCAGGTCAGGCTACTAGTGAAAGAATATAGATCAAAACATAGAAATCCAGACCCAGACAAAGACAATGTAGAATCGAAAGTTGTTTGCCTAGCTGTTCAAATAGGTAAACTTTCAGACTCTTTTTCTCGCTGCTAACTTTATGGTTCTGCCAATGGTTATGGAAAGCATGATGATAACGGTCAATGAAGCGCTAAGTCGCGTTTACACTTAAAATTCTTCCAGGTTCCTTGTAATCCAAATGAACTTCTTGTACCTACATATACTAAGCGTGCATGACAACTGTATCTCACATTTAGAACTTGCCTTATCAAAGTTGGAAACCTATTTCTCATGATTCTATCCGGTTTACAGTTTTGCCGATCGTTGTATGTTTAATGAAGGAGAATTTTCCATTAGTGTGTCTCTGTGTTCCACATAGCTATCTACAGTAGGAAGTTGTCAATTTGCTGTGAAGCCTTTTTTCAGTTTTGTCACTATTTTCACACACACACACACACAATTATCATATCTATTTATTTAATGACCTTGATGCTTTTTATATTTTGTCTAATGTTCACAACCTGTCTTTTACAATGGTGAATGTATATTGATGGGTTCTCCCAACTAGTGTTAAATGTAAGCTATTGATTACAAGTTAGCAAAGCATACAATTGTGTAACTAACATGCCATTCAGGATGTCTGATCTGGAAAGATCTATTAGCTCTAGCTCTATTAGCTCGATCTATTGCTATTCAAAGCATTAAGCAAAAGAGTACAAACAAATTGTGAAACTTTTTTCAGTTACAATTCTCAGCAACACTAGTGTGGATCTCTTTAGTTATGTGAGCAGATCAGGCCATGAACATCCTAGCATGAAACTTAAGACTTTTTTCATGTAGGAAAATAAGTCAAATTATTTCAAAGAAAGTAAAGTTATTGATGGTTCGAAAACACCAGATAGTCTAATTAAATGAGGAATTCACATACCACTGGCTGTTTGTCCTCATCAGCCAATACAACCAATAGTCCTTTTCTGATTCCTTCTGAGTTTTTACTGGTAAGTTCATCTGACAATGGAAACTGGTACAGTGTGTTTAATGCTTTTATCTGAACCTGTAAATAAATTTAGAAGTAAATTACAGAAGCCAAACAAAAATTATCTTGTTAACATGCACTTGACGAATGTGCACTGTTCCAAGTTGTATGCTAAAAATGTTCAGCTAGGTGTGAACTATTGTAACAATACTAGTTTCAAATATTGTGACGTGATTTAAACCTTCAATATAACTGCATGTGATGTGTAAAAACAAAAGCAACAGTTCCTTACATAAATTTGATAATGGTGCAAGTCATTCCAAAACATGTCTTTATGAAGTTTCCTTGTGAAATTTCAATCATGTACTGAAAGCTATGGAAGTATTCTGTATTCCAGATAAGTGTTTAATTTATTAGGTGAGAACATGAAAAGACTATAAACATCGAAAATTCTACTCACATGAAGAGGTTTATCTGGATCCAAATTCTCTGCAATTTCAGTGAATTTCAAGGGTGACAGGTACCCATCTAAAGTAAACCAGGAGATACATCAAAATTATCATGTTCATATGCAGAATCCTAAAGACAAGGTCAACTGAAATATTTTACAATATTCATCTGCTTAACCCTTTAACTCCTAGAAGTGATCAACATGCTAATAATGAATAATATCCATTCATTATCCAGTCAACAGGAAATGAGATCACTGAAATTTATCAAGTAAAATTTGTGATCTTTATCTAGCACCAAATTCTTGTAACTAATTTACAAGCATAGGAAAATCTTATGCAGCTTGAAGGGAGAATTAACAATCAGATCTTGGGATTTAAGGGATTAATTCTGAAAAACATACCTTTCCAAAAGAGGAAGGCATGGATGAATCTTCATCACTAGAATCCAGTGATAATCCTAAAGATTGGAGTCTGCCTTTGTTTTCTTTGAGTTCAATTAGTCAGATGGACAAAGGCCAGGATTTCGAGAGAAACTTTGAATCTAAAAAGTAGCATTGTGTTCTAATTTTAGAAAATGTACAAAACAAAAAACAATTAAATGGCTAATAAGGACAGTGGAGTTTTTCTTACCAAAGCATTTACTGCATCTTTTGTATCAGCTGAAATTGACTGCTGAAGGTTAACAAACCTGCAATACATAAGTTGTGTAGTAATTAAAAGACATCTCCATCTCAAGGGATACAGGTTAGTCATTAAATCAAAGCAAACTCTTCTTATGATTAGTTCTTTATTCCCCCATATATACAAGAGTTTTTGGTACATTTTAGGCCAATTCTCAACTGATGTTCAAATTTTATTGGGTATAACAGTGGGTTTGCAGAGTTGCCCTGTGTAAATATTGGTCCAGTAACTCACAACACTCTTTGTTAATAATTTGAATTTTCATGTTCTAACAGCTGTTTACTTGGTTCACAATGAGTAACCACTTATTCATCATAACATTTTTCTTTTCACTGGTTGGATACTACGCTAATTTGGTTTTATTGAGAGTGACACATAATAGCAAGTTGTACCTATCTTTGTTTAACTTTGGATATTTATATGTTTAGCGTCGTAAATCGACCATATTTCGTTTCCCAAACTATTCCGTATAACGTATTAAGTCAACGGTTCCTCGCGTAACCTAACACTGCGTACGTGTCCAAGAATTAATCTTTCGTCTTTCTCGAGATGTGAGCTTGGGACGCCTCTGCTCAAACTCCTTAACTGCAAGCGCAACAACAACCTTAAGAAATCTCACCCCAGCACCCCGGAGGTTGTAAGATTGTATGTAAACGCGTTTTATTTTTCGACCACGGCTAGGCGGGTTACCTCACCTACCTGGGGTCGTCCACGAATCGTTGAAATTTCAGTTTTTCCATAAATAAAAATTGAAACAATGAATAACTGGAAATCGACAACCAGAGCTCGACAGCGATTTTCATCACATCGAAAACAGTGACAATGCAAAAAAGTACTTATACGATGGATACTCTCAAGGAATCACTAGCACCAAAAACCTTCAGCAAAATAAGCTATGCCGCAATTATAATTTGGTTCGTGATCAATGTAATCTTCTTTGGCATTTTTGCCGAAGTGGAAAACACCGAATCCAGGTACGATTTCAGTCGTGGTGGAGTGAAGAGTGAAAACATCGACCTTGTCCGTGGAGAATGTTTCGAGAAATACGAGAAGCAGAACAACAAATACGGTGTTCCTGTCTGTGGCTTTGTGATCGTAAATTTCTTCCTTATTGGAACTGTTTGTGTTATGTACTCCCAAACAGTGAGAAATACAGTCGATCATTTGACATCGAGCAGTCGTAACTGTGATCCAGAGAGCGGACAGTCGCGCGACCAAGAAAACCCAATGAGACAAACAACAAATTGCAGACACAAGCTTTTTATCGCTTACTGTTGTCAACTATCTACGAGACTTGTTCCAGGAGTTCTCTTCGTATTGCTTCAAACTCAGTTACTTTATCCTTTAAAGTTTTCCTCCACGTTTGACTGTTATCATGATCTAATCTCTGGAACCAATGAGCCAAGGAATTCATCGGACGCCGCCCCAAACAGTACTCTTCACAAATGTCACAATCAACGGGCGGTGAAGAAAACCTTTTGGATTTACGCTGTCCTTGTAGTGAATGGAATTTTCGTCACGGGCACTCTGACTGAAACCGTCTACATTTTGTTACGGGCATGCATAGAAAGGAATTTTATGGAAGACTCGGACTTCTTAAAAATCCATCTAAATGCTAGCCACGACAAGTCACATCAAGAACCTAAGCAGCAAGAAGGAAGAAGACAACATGAAACTGTTCTACCACAGCCAAGAGAGCAAGGAAACCATCCGACCCAGGTCGAGTTGCAAAGTGAACCTCAAAAGCAGGATGATGTTCCGCTACAGCCACGAGAATGTGAACCCCCTCCGACTCAAATCGAGTTACGCCAAGAACCTCGGAAGCCTGAACAGCTTCAACTATTCATCGAACGAATGAAGGAAATAATTAAAAGACACTCAGTGTCTCGACAAACTCCAATCACCGCTTCCACGTCCTCCAGGCGAACAAACAGCAGCCAGAGATTTGACTTTGGATCAGATTTACACAAACCTTGTGATCATCCCGAACAGGGCTAAGTATAAGTTTACTACAGAGAGACAAAAGCTACTCAAAGTTTATCCAAGGTCGCGCGACGAAGAATCACGAGTCTGGATGACCTTCTGAATGTAGAAAGTAAGAAAGTTTTAATCGTCGGTCGACCCGGAATCGGCAAGACACTATGTTGTATTAAACTTTATCATGTGCTCAAGTCTGTCAGAAATAATGCAGTTCGAAAGTTTCGCTAGTGTTACCCTCCCTTTCAAATTAACCACGATATACAAGATTGCAGTGAAATAGAGAATAGTACATGGTTGCGCGTAGATATGGAATTTCTCTTCGAGTGTTTAACTCGATGAATTGCGGTGATTTCGCCAACGAGTGATTTCGCCAACGTCATGTTCGCCAACGTCTTTGGTCGCTTCGCCAACGCGATGAGTCGCTTGGCCAACGTCCTACTGGTCACTTCGCCAACGCCAAATATCTAGTAATAACTAGATTAGCGGTAATTTAAAACTGTTGAATAACAAACTCCGATGATTTCCAAATGTGTTCCAAAAATGTATAACTCAAAATTTTACTTGAAAAATGCGTTACGATGTGAATTAACGAGTTAACATTTTTCAGAAACAATCAGAGTCTGTTTTCCAGCCTTCAAAACGAGTCAGAAATAAAATATAACAAGTATAATATCAACAACATTTTAATTACAATACGTACTTTTATAAATATTTACAAGTGCAAAATATTTTAGTGGAAAACCTATTTACAAAACCTCCTGATTCACAAAATATTTTCAATGCAAAACTTATTTACAAAACCTTCTGATTCAAAAAAATGTTTTAGTCAAAACCTATTTACAAAACCTTCTGATAGGATACAGATAGAATAATCAAGTGAAATGCTGAAGGATCAATATATGTGTACGAAATGACTTCTCATAACTTTTTCTCATAACTTCGCCGCCAGTTTGTGAGAATTATATACCGTATACCTAGCCGTAATAAAGAAGTTGCTATATGCAAATGAATTTCGGTGAGCGCTAAGCGCGGGGAAACTCATATGAATAAACTTCTAACCTACAGAACTGAAAATGAATGTATTTGTATAATGTCATTAAGGTTTCGAATGTCATTTCGAGGATGAAAATAAATGCTTGCAAATTATTCAGGACAATTTCCAGCCTGGTAGTGGCAAAATCTCGGTGCTCATCGACCCAATTATGTGCAGCCAAGTTTCTAAACCGCGTACTGCCATAATTGTTAAACAAGCAGGAACAACATCAATCGTTTCTATTTTCTGTGACTGATCCAAAAAGAGATTTTGAAGACAAATATTCGTTACTGTTCTTTACCTTTATGGATAAAACTATATGATTGATAGAAAGGTTATCTTAATGCTATTTTTGACGACCCTTTTTTTTTTGTTTTTGGCATTTGCATTTGATTTGTTTGTTTTGTCTCTTTGTCTAAATGTTTTCCAGTGTGTTGAGTCTAGCTCGGTTTTTTTAACAGTGTTTTGCGAGATTCAATCCCTGGGGAATCGATATGATTGGTAATCGAAGACAAGGAGGTATAGGACTTTTTGGTTTTTGTTCTGATTTGTGTTTGAAAGCGCTGAGAAACCGAAGTTAACATGCACTACAGAAGAGATTCTGACTAAATTGTTCTTTAAAGAGTCTACATTTTGAAAGAACTATTACGTTAAGAGGAATTAACATTACGGCTTAAGCAATTGTGGCTTTTTCATTCACGAATTGTATCACTCTATGAATGATCGTAGGAGCCTTCAGCTGGAGTGAGCTTTCATAGTATGCTAAAATGGAAAATTTGGCGGGCTAAAATATACGGGCCCTGTTCAACAGGGATTACCTTCAATGATGGTGCGTGCGGTTGGAGGAGGTATATTGATTTTTTACTGCATTAAAGAGCGGTGCTGAATGTTAATTGTGAGACTAATTTACAAGCTTGTAAAGAAGCTTTCCAAATCTCATTGTTTATACTGTTATTTCGTCACCAATTCAAGATGCTAAAACTGTATTTGCTATCCTCTTTCTCTCTAATGCCCCTGACAATTAGAAACTGTGCTGAGCTGCACAAATCTGGACAAAGAGTCAGCGGCGTTTATACAATGATGAGTGAGGTGCCTTCGATGTGTATTGTGACCAGACAACATCCTGTGGGGGGTGGACACTGTTTTGGAGAAGACTGCACGCACCTGGGCTGACTCAGTACAAACATGGCTTTGGTGACCTAATTGGTGAGTTATTATTATTATTATTATTATTAAATTTAAATTTATACCGCGCAGTTTCTATAAAAATATTCAACTGCGCCTAATTTTTTGGGTTTTGGCAAGGACTGGACAAGATCCACCGCTTGACGGGCAGTAAGACAGAAAATAGGCTTCGAGTAGAGCTGGATGTACCAAACAGCAAAAAAGTTTATGTTGAGTATGACTGGTTGGAATTGGAGACGAGACAATGGAATACCGCCTGAACATTGGTGGTATCAGTTAAATTAAACGTTTAAAGTACAAGTTAAGCGACCGTGGAAAGGATCTTGATAACCACCGCTGAAACCTTTTTAAAGAGCGCGATATACATGAATCTGCTGCAAGAAAAGTTATTGACAAAAGGACCCAGACACGTTTTCTGACTGGCAGGTTTTGTTGAAAATGAGATGATAAGACTGTTTTATCGCCTTTTACTTTCAATAGTCCGTATTTTACTATTCCAGTCCATTGGAAAACAATCCCTGAAGTACCGAATGCTAATTTGACGTCTGTCGGCAATTGTGTGAAATTTAACGACATATTTTGATCGTTGGACTTTAAGGCCCGCAACTTGTCTTGAAATTTGTGCTAATTTTATTTCCAAGGAAATGCAACTGTTCCTAAGGATTCTTTAGGTCCCCATAAGGGCTGCTCGTTTGACGCGTGGGACGAAGATCCTTCAGGTATTTGCTCTGCAAAGATAGGGGGAGGCTGATGGTACAGTGCTCAGACAGAATGTGATGTTTGTTCAAATCTCAGTGGTGTCTTTCCGAACTGTGAAAACCCTCAACCCTTAGGTATGAAAAACTGGGAATATTTAGATTTTACCAGCCCTACAAACAGCAATCCCACATCTTCTTAAATTAAAATCAAACCAATGGAGAAGTGAGCAAGGAGGATATGAGTAAAAAGGAAAATTCATTAAACCCACAAAAGCGTAAAAGTTAATGGGATTCAATGTTTATGTTGTACAGTCCAAATTTTCCTATTGCGTTTGCCATTACTGTTCATTAAAATTAATTAAAATTTGTCTTTTAAACTTTCTGATGTATTAATTTCCAGCCGTGTATGTCGCGGATCGTTTCGTTAGAGTTTCGTGCACTTTAAGTTTCCCTTGCTGTCAGATTGTTATCTTAACATCTCGTGCACTTTTATATCTGCTCAGTGTCAGATGGTTATGTTAGTATCTCTCACACTTTTAGTTTTCTTTGGTACCTGATGTTTATATTTATCTCGTGCACTTTTAGTTTTCCTAGGTGTTCGATTTTTACGTTGGAATATCAAGCACGCTTGGTTTTTCTTGGTGTTTTATTGTTACGTTGGTATCTCGCGCACGCTTGGTTTTTTTTGGTGTTCCATTAGAACAATAACTTTCGCAATTTATCGTGTTTTAGTAAACAGCATGAGCAAGTTGAGCAGTCGATACAATAAAATCGATGCAACTTTTTTTTCAGTGGTTGTTGATGTTATTTTTACAGTGGACACAAGCAGCTCAGGAAGCCCTGGCCTAAAGAAAAAGTGAGGATGAAATTTAATGTCTTATAAATTAGTTTAAACCTTTTTTTAGAGTGCAATTTTGAACACGAAGAAATTAAAATATATCAAACAAAATGAAAATATAAAAGAATGCAAATTAGCCATGTGTTTTACCAGATGATACAGTATTTGATAATAGGAGTACTTTGGCAGAATATTTTGTTGTTTTAGCTAATCTTTTGTTGGAATGTTATATTTTATTATACAGCTTCCACATGTACAGTTCTCATCACAAAATCTTAAATATTTTTCTGATTTATTGTCAGGAAGATTATGTATGATTTTACACATTTGTGTGAGTCTGTTCTTCATCAGTCTTTTTTCTAATGTGACCCATCCTAGTTCTCTAATCATATCTGTTACACTGGCTATGTCAAGGTTAGACAAGAGGAGAGAGAGAGTGGTAGTGGAGATAAAGAAATGAGTGAAGCTGAAAAGCTGATGGAGGAGTTGGTGGAATTGGAGATGGAATCTGAGAAGACAAAAGAGCAGAAGGATAAGGCCAAGAAACTGGTAGAAGGGGAGAAAAAGAAGGCAATAGAGATGAGGGAGAGAGCAATGGAGAGGTTCAGTCAAACCGAAAAACGACAAGAAGAAACAAAAGGATGAAGGGAAAAAGGAGAAAAAAAGAAGAAGATCAGGAGAGGCAATAGAGTAGTTGAGAGAAAAAGGAGAGAATATGCGAGAGATGAAGGAGCAAGAACTTCAAGAAAGAAGGGAAGAACGAGAAGCCCAAAGAGCTCAAACTGAACAGTCTATGTCTCAAATGCAAGCTCAAAATGAGCAAATGAAATTATTTCAACAACTGCTGCAACAAATGCAGCAACAGCAACAACAGCACAGCCAACAACAACAACAATTTGCCATGTTGCACCATCAGATGATGCAAGTTTTGACGCATCAAACATGCATTTCAGCAACAGTTTAAGATAGATTAAGGGTTTGGGTTTGATATACATCAGCATTGAATGCAATGTCATTATCTGAGTTTCGTATGTTATCTAATTTTTTTATATAAAACAAAATTTTTAATCAAATAGAGTATATTTTGTATTGTAAAGGCCAATTATCTTGATTATCTTTATTTATTAAATAAAAGTTTTGGGCAGCAGGCCATTTTACGAATAAAATAGCAAATTACAACTTTGATCATTAAAATACACTGTGTACAATCATAAAACAAATGTTGTGTTTACCAGATAAAGTAATTGGTACACGTTAACCAGGGGCCAGGGGTAATACACTTTTGAGCTATGAAAATTTCCTTTACTTTTCAAGGAATTCCATGACCAAAGTTAGCAAGTGTACTAATTGATTAAATCCACAATGGTACAAAAATTTGCATAAATGTCACAAAAGTATTAAGTGTAAACAGAAATGTCCACACATGTAGATTGTGCTGATGTTTATTTCTACTGAAGAAAATATTTTTTCCACTTGTCAGCTTATTTTACAAATTTGGATCTACAATCCTTTGCACTCATAGAAAGCCTTAAAAAAAGGTAAACAATGTACAAGTTCTTAAATTTTTTACCCTCTAACATCAGTATGTGTAACTCTTCTATTGGCCAAAGTACAAAATGAAACAAATTCAAATTATTGGAAGTAGTCCTGTAAAGAAGGCGGTTGAACTTTTCTGACACAATTTTACTATACAGACAGGTCAACGCATTTTCCAAAGGGCACAGACAATGTAAAATTTCCCCACTGAATTCAAGTTAATTTGTAATTGGCTTTTAAAATCAATAAACTTAATATAGTTTGTAATATTACCAAAAAGCCACTCAACTGCAACTCTTACTTCACTCATGGTCGCATTGTACAAAACCATTTGTGGAGTGAGTTGAATGTTTTTAAAAGGGGCCTGAAGGTGAACACCCAAAGGGTATGCAGGATCACCATAAAGACAAAGAGGATGCCCATTATGTAACGCCACCCTCCGAAGCTCATTGAGAATGCCTGTTTGTTGGAGCATTGTGCTGTCGCGTCTTTTACCATCAAAGGGGCCATTAAGGTTTGTAAAATCCGTTTGGGATGACAACACTGAAATTTATGGAATGTATTCTCTTGTGGCCATTGCACATAACCCTTTGGTTTTCTTGTGGCCTCGCTATTCCACGTACAGTACCATCAATAAATCCAAAACAATTGCCTAATAGAGCACCAAGACGTTTAGTCGATGCTTATGATTACCGTAGATAAAATCGATCATAGTGTTGAAGATTAAGCAAAGCTCGGTCGGATTCCTGCCAAAGCGGGGTACCATGTCTGGGTATCTACAAGGGTATGCCAACTCCTTTAACAAAGTGCACAGGCCCTCCATCCCACCACATACTGTTCTTTGCACGCAAGTAATTTTTTCCGGAATTCCTAAACATTCACATAATTCAGGCAGATGTTTCTTCGCAAATCTAAGCTCGGTCTTGTACTCCACATCGCTCCACTCGTCTTCACTCAATCTGGGGAATTTCCAGTATGGGAAAATAAGTTTTGACGAATATGCGTCATATAGAAGAACAAATTCGTCATCGTCAATAACGTCAAAGAAGCTGGCTGTTAACAAAGCATCGCGGACGGAGCTTAAACCACCGCTTGCCATGATCTATGATATGGGAAGCCACCAAGGAGTCGCAATACAGAGATCACGAAAACCGTTCTCACGAAAACAACTCGCATGAAAAGATGACGACAATTACACAAATTTCACAAAAACACATTTAATGGGCTAAATTCTAAAATAAATTAAATTAAATTAAAATAAAACTGCCCTCCCAAATTTTATTTAAATTAAAGTAGAATTTTATAATGCGTCTCATTTGGTATCCAAACCAAGTTCTAACGAGAAACTCGTGCCGTAGTCGTCCCCGTCGGCGTTTGACAGGTGGTATATAGTAACATTAATTTCGTTGCCCTAAATTGTAGCTGATTAACTTAAAATTTACGACGAGAATTTTAACGATAGTCAATTGGTATTCTAGAACAAGAATTTGCAGCACGTTTCCCTTGCTAAATCACTTTTCAACACAACGCGACGGCGTTCTCGACCCGGTTTCTTATCGTCACTTTTGCCGCGCGTGCTGTTCTGAAATGACATTCCCGTCCTCTTGCTAAACCACTCTAGTATCTCGAGCACGCTTGGGTTTTCTTAATGTTTTATTGTCAGGTTGGTATCTCGCGCACGCTTGGTTTTTCTTAGTGTTCCATTGTTACGTTGGTATCTCGCGCACGCTTGGTTTTTTTTGGTGTTCCATTGTTATGTTGGTATCTCGCGCACGCTTGGTTTTTTTTGGTGTTCCATTGTTACGTTGGTATCTCGCGCACGCTTGGTTTTTTTTTGGTATTCCATTGTTATTTTGGTATCTCACGCACGCTTGGCTTTTCTTAGTGTTCCATTGTTATGTTAGTATCTCGAGCACGCTTGGTTTTTCTTGGTGTTCCATTGTTGCGTTGGTATCTCGCGCACGCAGGGTTTTCCTTGGTGTTCCATTGTTATGTTAGTATCTCGAGCACGCTTGGTTTTTCTTGGTGTTCCATTGTTGCGTTGGTATCTCGCGCACGCAGGGTTTTCCTTGGTGTTCCATCGTTATATTAGTATCTCGCGCACGCTTGGTTTTTTTTGGTGTTCCATTGTTATGTTGGTATCTCGCACGCGCTTGGTTTTTTTTGGTGTTCCATTGTTATGTTGGTATCTCGCGCACGCTTGGTTTTTCTTGGTGTTCCATCGTTACGTTGGTATTTTGAGCACGCCTGGTTTTTTTTTTGGTGTTCCATTGTTATGTTGGTATCTCGCGCACGCTTGGGTTTTCTTAGTGTTCCATTGTTACGTTGGTATCTTGCGCACGCTTGGTTTTTTCGGTGTTCCATTGTAACGTTGGTATCTCACGCACGCTTGGTTTTTTTTTGGTGTTCCATTGTTATGTTGGTATCTCGCGCACGCTAGGTTTTTTTTGGTGTTCCATTGTTATGTTGGTATCTCGCGCACGCTTGGTTTTTTTTGGTGTTCCATTGTCACGTTGGTATCACGCTTGGTTTTTTCTTGGTGTTCCATTGTTATTTTGGTATCTCGTGCACGCTTAGTTTTTCTTAGTGTTCCATTGTTGTTAGTATCTCGAGTACGCTTGGTTTTTCTTGGTGTTCCATTGTTACGTTAGTATCTCGCGCACGCTTGGTTTTTTTTGGTGTTCCATTGTTATGTTGGTATCACGCTTGGTTTTCTTGGTGTTCCATTGTTATGTTGGTATCTCGCGCATGCTCGGTTTGTTTTGGTGTTTCATTGTCAAGTTGGTATCACGCTTGGTTTTTCTTGGTGTTCCATTGTTATGCTGGTATCTCGCGGACGCTTGGTTTTTTTTGGTGTTCCATTGTTATGTTGGTATCTCGCGCGCACTTGGTTTTTTTTTGGTTTTCCATTGTCATGTTGTATCTCGCGCACACTTGGTTTTTCTTAGTGTTCCATTGTTAACTTGGTATCTCGCGCACGCTTGGTTCTTTTTGATGTTCCATTGTCACGTTGGTATCACGCTTGGTTTTTCTTGGTGTTCCATTGTTATGTTGGTATCTCGCGCGCACTTGGTTTTTTTTTGGTTTTCCATTGTCATGTTGTATCTCGCGCACACTTGGTTTTTCTTAGTGTTCCATTGTTAACTTGGTATCTCGCGCACGCTTGGTTCTTTTTGATGTTCCATGGTCACGTTATCAACGCTTGGTTTTTCTTGGTGTTCCATTGTTAAGTTGGTATCTCGCGCACGCTTGGTTTTTTTTGGTGTTCCATTGTTATGTTGGTACCTCGCGCACGCTTGGTTTTTCTTGGTGTTTCACTGTTATGTTGGCATCTCGCGCACGCTTGGTGTTTTTTTGGTATTCCATTGTTATGTTGGTATCTCGCGCACGCTTGGTTTTTCTTGGTGTTTCACTGTTATGTTGGTATCTCGCGCACGCTTGGTTTTTTTTGGTATTCCATTGTTATGTTGGTATCTCGCGCACGCTTGGTTTTTCTAGGTGTTTCACTAATATGTTGATATCTCGCGCATGCTTGTTGTTTTTGGGCTTTCCATTGTTATGTTGGTATCTCGCGCACGCTTGTTTTTTTTTGGTGTTCCATTGTTATGTTGGTATCTCGCGCACACTTGGTTTTTCTTAGTGTTCCATTGTTATGTTGGTATCTCGCGCACGCTTGGTTTTTCTTGGTGTTCCATTGTCATGTTGGTATTTCGCGCACGCTTGATTTCTTTTCGATCGATTTTGCCGGTTTTAAGGTTAGTATCTTGTGCACTTTAAACTTTCCTTGTTGTCCGTTCGTTACCTTGCTATCTCGCCCGATCGTTTCGTTGGTATTTTTTAATACATTTAAATGGTGTCCAATGCTTATAATTGCATTTCGTAGACTTTTTGTTTTAATTTTTACTTTTGCCTGATTGTTAAGGTAGTGTCTAACACACTTTTAAGTTTTTCTTGTTGTCCGATTGTTACAATAGTATCTCGTGCACTTCCTTGGTGTCGGGTTGTTAGATAAATATCACGGGCACTTTTAGTTTACCTTGATGTGCCATTATTACTTCAGCATCTTGCACTCTTTTAGTTTTCTATGTTGTCCGTTTGTTACCTGAGAATCCCACGCTCTTTTAGTTTTTCTTGGTGTCTGATTATTACTTCAGTGTATCGTGCACTATAAGAATTCCTTGTTGTCCTATTGTCATGTTAGCATCTCGTGAATTCTCAGCTTTTCTTAGAGCTCGATTTTTATCACCCATTTTTTAAATTTCATTGATGTCCGATTGTGAAGTTAGTATTTCGTGGTTTTGTTGGTTTTCCTTGGCTTCTCATGCACTTTTAGTTTTCCTTGTTTTCTTATGGTTACGATAGTATCTCAAGCACTGTTAGGTTTCCTTGTTCTCCTATGATAGATATCTTAGAAAAGAAGAGCAATGCATGTACTCACATAAAAAAACAAAAGAAAAAAGTTTAATTTCGCTACCAAGTACACTTTAACATTAATTCTTTTCCTTCCTCTGTTTTTCATACGGTTCTGTTTCCTGAATTCTTCTTTTTCTAAAGCAGCTCTCTAGCCATTTTGAACTGACAACCTTAACATCATCGTTTAATTCTTGAGAGGAGTGCTGAAAATGAAAATTAATAAAATAAGGAATACTCAACTTAAGTACCAAGAAAAAAAAATTGGACTTAAATGTTGGAAAGTCGTTAATTTTAATGGAATGATACGCTGCTTTTGTTTACTGAAATGAAAATACGACTGCATGTTACTTACATATTGATCGCTATCATCACAAGTTACCACATGAGTCACATCCCCGCACGCAATGTGTGATACATCGCCATTGTAAATAAACAAGTGTTAAAGATGAAATTTTCCAGTACGTTATACACGCCTAACTGTCTTGGTCAATTTTATAGAAATAAATCACTTTACTTAAAAAATTTAATTAATAAAAATTAAATTAACGGCATAAATTAACTATCTGACTCTCAGAATGCCTCTCTCCCCCAGGAATGAAAATGGGAACCGGTAAACCGCCATGAAAGACCTAACGAAATGCTGTGGGTAACCTAAAACCGATCAGTATCCCATCCAGGAGTAGACGGCATTCTTGGGGATATTTTTCCTTCAGATGAGTTTTTGGTGTTGTTTGCCATTTTGGGAAAGGGTCCATAATACATCACTGAGGTGACTGTTATGATCAAGTTATACCTTTCTTCGTAATAGGAAAGGAGAACATGCACTTTCGAAACAAATAAAAATGGAGATTAAAGGATATGCCACCAGATAGCGTGTCAATTGCTTCCTATGTGTCTCTTCAACATTATGAAACAAGACATTTACACCGTACATGAAGTCAGGTAGTGAATGCTTTGTACTCTTTCGATGTTCACCATGAGAGGATTCATCATCCTTGGATGTTTCCCGCTTGTCTTTCGCCTTGTAACTTCTTTTTTTCAGAGAATCTGCGTTTAATGATGTCAGAGTTTTTGAGTTATTTGTAGCTGATTGTCTATCAAAATAATATCTGCGATAGTGTCAAGATCTGTTAGTTCAGTTCTACTTATATAAAATAAAATATAGATATCGATCAGATTTCGTTATTTCACCCCGTTACAAGACCGCTCTTTAAAAAGTTATTCCCTCAGTTCACCTTGAGAGACGCGACATGACTCCACACTGAACAATTCGGCGTTGGAAAAAATTTGTGGGTTATCAAATCCAAAAAATATATATATAAGAAAAGGTTGTGATAAAAGAGAACCCGATCAATGCCACTTTTGCACAAAACACAATTTCTAACCTCATGGTATGATCCAATTATTTTATTGGATTCCGTAATTGGATTCTACGTGTGTGGCTCTTCATTCACTGTTCACGGATCGAATTCGAATTTGAAGGGGTTGGTTTTTAAGAAAGAAAGAAACACGATGAAACTTGAGAAAAAACATCGGAGCAAGGATGAGAACCACAAACCAGCTAAACCAACACGTCAACCAGGTCCGAGAATCGAACCCATGCTACAGTACTAGAAGGTCAGAGCAGGCTGTCGCCATTACACGATCTCTGCGACCTATTACTTCACAAAGGATACACTGATGTCTGAATTCCTTTGCAGACAAGGTGCTTCCGTAACAGTCTCTCCGTGCCATACCAGTTAAAACTAGGTGTATTGTAACCAATTCGTGGAAGGTGAATAGTAGCTGGAGAGAAAAGACATTTCCTATTTTTAAAATAACATTGTCGAAAAAAAGGGTAGAACTTAGGTAACAACATACATTCAAAACAATAAATAAAAAACAAGGGAGAATTCTGCGTACATTTCCTTTTTTCACCAAGGGGGATGGGGTACTCCTCTGAACCATCATTCTTTGTTGACGGCTGATTGTGAAAACAACTGTTTTCCATCTTAACTAAACTAGCCTACGTATGGTGAGGTAACCTCTACGAACACCGGACACTACTCGCGTTCTGTGACATCACGTTTGCAGGAAAATTTAAAACAACTTTTTACTGGTTGACCCCTTTATCGATTCTTTCGTGAATTCTGATTGGCCACAGTTGGTAGTTTTCTTTCATACTAACGAACAAGATGGTGAACAGAATGCTTCATGGTCAACTTTTTAGACAAAAGTGATTTACGACGAGGTTTTAAGGTAAATTTGTGCGACTTGTGAGATAGAGATATTTTGAAAAGAACATCAGAAAGCCATAGATATGTTTATTGAAGGTAAAGAAGTCTCCATTTCGTTACCAACTGGCTATGGAAAATCTTTCATGTAACAAGCCGCGCCAGTGATTGATCGCTTCTCTTCTCTCGAAGAAACTGGTCTCTATCTTTATTGTGCCGCCCGTTAAAGCTCTGATAGAAGACCAGGTGCACCATCTAAATGGACTTGGGCCAAGAGGATTGTCCGCCTTCATCTTCCGTCTCGAAAAAATACATAAAATTTTACCTGATCCCCCATGAGGCTCCATAATATCCTCATGATTCCCCTCCCCCCACCTCCTTTAGGCTGTTAACTGACATTCAATTTTCTATAGTCCCCTGCTTTATACTCTGTTGGCGCGAATGATCCCCACCCCCCCCCCCCCTTTTCGACCCCCTAAAAACCATGTGATTTTCCCTAAAGCGAGTGCAATCGACGCCAAAATCAGAATCACCCATGCGGAGTTTTAATTATCACTACTGGGAAAAACAAAGAACTGAGCCACCCATGATGATTCAAAGCTTAGCTAGTTCGAATGCTCTACCAACTGAGCTTCAAAGAATTATGGAAAGAATCAGTCTGTGTTCACTTTTTTCAAATGTTACCTTTCATTTTCTTTGCCGCCAATGCTATCCTCTTCAAGCCTAGACTTAATGACGTCAATTTTATCCCAGAGAGTCTGTTCTGCCTGTCACGTGACTGAGCCACAATCAAGGCCACCTTAGTAAAGAAAAAGTATCAGTGAAGATGAAAAGACACTAAATACGACGCGCTTTGTGATTGAAGTTGCCTATAATCTATCAGAGTAAACAGACCAAGAGCTAACACTGTTAGCATTTTCTTTGGTTTGCCTAAAATGGCACCCAGGTTTGAATATTTTTCGAGAACATATGCCATTGAGAAAGTTTGGAATAGAAGCCGTTCTTTTGCAAGACAAAAAGGAATTAGGTAGAAGTCTTAACTCTCCTAGATAGGACATTAGTTGTGCCCAGTTCTTGCTGAATTCCAGGTGGAGGGGTCTGGGTTCGAGCCCTTGTCAGGTTAGGTCAAGAGATTTCGGATAAGTTGCTTTACTTTCAATAATCTTTTCTTCATCAAGGAGTGTAACAGGAACTAGCAAGCTACCAGGGAAAGCTGACGAAATGCTGGGGTTAACCTGCGATGGCAGGGAGAGTAGCAAGACCCTTAGTCACCTACATTCTGATATCACAAGAAAATAAGAGAGGTGTCAACAAATCGATAGTTAAACTCTAACGGAGGTATTCCACGCTTACGTTGACTTCAGTGCAGGTATTCAGGGTCCAGAAAAGGGCTGTTTTTAAATACATCGAATGGCGTTTCAAGAGTCAGTCGAAAACTTCAGCAGATGTCATCATCAAAGTCAACTGACCACTTAAACTTTTCAAATTATTTAACGTACATATTCATGACCATCCTTTGGGTTTCGTCGATCGTCAAGAGGGACAAGATGTGCATCTCCTAACTTCAGATCTGAAAAAAAAAACAACAACAAAAACAACAACAAAAAAACGCTCTAGCTCAAGTTCAAGCTGCCTTTAGATTTCCACAAAAATATTTTCGAAACTGAAATTTTGGCGTTATTTTTGTCAAAAAAGAAAATACAAAGAAATGGAGTAGGGCGAGAAACATTTAAACTAATTTTATGCTTTTCAAAGAAATTCAATTCATTTTAAGATAATGATATTAACAACGAAAAAAAATTAAAAATTGATGTATGAGAGAAAAAAGTAAATACGTAGAATAATAAGAAGTTGTCTTAGCAATTAACAGTTCTGTGAAAAGACCGAAAGTTCTTTCTATCTATTTCTTAGTTGATAACAAAAACACACAATCATTACCTCCAGAAACTGACTTTCAGGTAATTGGT